GGGGAGCTAAATCTGCAGAATATGTTGAATGGGTCCTAGTGCAGTTATTAACATTTTTCTCATTGCGACTGCACACGTCTGCATCCGCACATTTTATGCATCGAATAGTACTTTCTTATACCCCAAAAGACATTTTCCCTTTACCCTTAGAAGCTTTCTTTATTTCAGATGTTTTTTTTTTGGTTGCATGAGAATTTAAAATGATAAGATATATTGTTAGAATAAAATTTTTTATTGTAATCTGGTACATAATTTCATGGTGTTTATTTTTTGAATATGATTTTCGGCATATGTACGCCACGGCTGTGAGTTACATGGTCTATTCGAACAGACCAAATTTTGACTATTTTTTGCAATAAGACGTCAATGGTTTCTTATGCTTCAAGAGTTGCTGGTTTGTCGGCATAAACCAATGACTTAACACAACCCTATAAAAGTAATGGACAGGCGTTAAATCTCACGAACAACAGGATCACTTCTGGAAATAAATTTGTTACCAAATTGATTTCGCAATATCTCGTTTGTTAAGCATGCTGTATGGCAAGTTGAGCTATTTTGTTGCAACCAAATGTAGTCGATATTAAACTAATCAGTTTTTAGAAACAAAAATTCTGTCAGCATCGCTGGCGCGATAGCGCTCGCCATTCACCGGCAGATTCTTCCAAATTTCAAAAGAAATAAAGACTGGTGTTACTGTCGGCGTCTAAGGAGCACCAAAATGGCAATTTTAATTGATCCAATGGTGATTCTTGAATGGCTTGATGATTATATTCGCTCCTTATATGGAAATTTTGTTTATTGACGTAGCCATTTTACCAGAAATGACCCTCATCCCTAAACACAATTCTTCGAAGAAGTACTCTATGAACAGATCTATTTTTTAAAATCTGTATTAAATATTCAAACCTTACTGAACAGAAACACTAACACAGTTTGACATTCTCAGCTCTCAAATCAACGTTATCGATATTGATAGTTCTTATGCAACTAAAAAAACACTCGATATATAATGTATAATTTTTTGTTAAATATGTATATTATTTTTTAAAATGACTTCCTTTTTTTTTGAAATAAGCATAATTAAACAGTCGTGCACTATAACCACGAATACTGATTGGAGCACAGAGTATCACTACAGTTACATAGATAAACATATATGTATATTATCTCAAATAATTTGAGCACACTAACTCAGCTATCTAATTAATTTTAGATTCCCGTAAAAATTGTAGAAAATGATAATCAAACTTTTTAAGCTATACAGGAAATAATATCTTCAAATAATTTTAACACAAAAATTTAAGTCAGTGTCAATATTTTGAACTTATCTCATCATGAAATCATCTCATCAAAAAAAAAAATAAAAATAAAAAATCAAATAAAAATTTTATTAGGTCACACAATTATTATACTAAACGAAAAAACGTTTAATAATTTTTGATTCAAAATTAAAAATTATAGAAATTAAAAAATAATTTATATCTATAAACTAAATCAGATTTTTCGAAGCCATTGACCGCATGAGTTTCTGCGCGTTTATATTTCAACATTTACACGATTCAATTGAGTGAACGCCTTGAACTTCCGCTTAAGAAGTTCACGCAGTTTTTGTGGTATTTTGCCTCAGATACATGTGCAAACTGTTTTCATTTAAAGTTTTAGCAAAATAATAATAATAATAATAACAACAACAATCTTAAAATTAAAAGTACCTTAAATACACAAGACAACAATGTTATAGACACATACTCTTCGTAAGCATGTAAACACTAAGTTGAAGGCATCTTTAGATACTTCACACTTCATGCACTTTGACGTAAGAAAAATAACTTAAAAACAAGAATTTTTAATATAAAATCTGAGTTTAAGTGAAAAAAGAAAAATAATAAACATAATTTTTAATTTACATACATATACGCTTTTCTGTAGATCCTTTAAGGGTTCCTATCTTCGCGCAATGGCTTCCAGATGGTATGCAGTCGGTGCGCTCGAGACTCAGCTCAGACACGCTTTGATTTATAAGCAAAATGTACTCAAGCCCCAGAAGTTCACTGCTCGCCGGTAGAAGAAAGATGGGTACAAATTGTGTGAAAATTCCTTTTTGTTCACCTTTGATGACCGCGTGTGAATTTGTCTAGCTGTCATTTTTGCCCTCCATCAAGCAATTGAAGGCTCTTTAGGCGGGAACGAAAAACATTTTGCTTTGTAGTTTAAATAATAATTTTAGTCTTCTTGCATTCTTTTTCTTCATAAGAAATGTAAATAAAATCAGAGAAATTAATTTAAATAAAATTATGCGTAAATGTTTGGAGAAGTAATATTAGTTATTCTCGAAATAGACTTGGGTATGATACTAATTAATGAGATTAGGGTCTGGAGAGCAAAATGTAATTTACTTTTAAAAACTTTGAATAATGATCAATTATCACAAATTTTGATTTTTTAATTGAGTATTTAGCATTGCAAAATACCCATCATGTTGGGCTTTGGTAGCATATAGTTTTTCGTAGTTTTAATACTATTAATCACATTGAGATACTATTATTGGAAGTGTCAATGTTGCAAGCGAAATAGGTTGAAAATAGGTTTTTACATATTATTTTTAAAGCAATATTCCATTTTAATATTCTGTTAACAATACTTCTTAAAATTGTCTTAATAATCAAAAAAAAAAAATGTTTGGCGGAGACAAGGTCTACCTCTACGCCTTATTCCTCCAACTATTGCTTCAAATATGCCGACACGCCATCTTAACCTAATCTTACTTATCTGATAATATCATGCAATCTCTAGGAAATGAGTATAGTGCCTTTTTCGGCTTTTGTTGATCTAAATAAATCAGGGTTCCTGAGGTGTGGATTCCTTCCTCCAACTATTGCTTCAAATATGCCGACACGCCATCTTAACCTAATCTTACTTATCTGATAATATCATGTAATCTCTAGGAAATGAGTATAGTGCCTTTTTCGGCTTTTGTTGATCTAAATAAATCAGGGTTCCTGAGGTATGGAGTGGTTTCTTATATTACTTGCTTTATTTTAAGGGAATTTCTTCATAATCTTATAGATTACAGTCTACCCTTGTCGCTTCTACTAACAAATAAATATGTTAAGTATGAATAAAGTATCTTAACAAATTGGAAGTTAAACAATTATTCCCAACTTATCTAAATGTTTTCTAATAATCTGTAATGCAACCGCATGATGACAATTAGTTTCAATATATATATCTTTTTAATATATTGTATATAATACACTAATAACGTAAAATTTAAGTGTTTAAGGTTTAATATTTATAAATAAAAAAACAATAACATAAAATCCTCGTACGAGTCTAAGTAATTATTGAATGAAAAGGAAATCTTATTTATAAATAATGTTTGCGGCTTAAGTCTTTTGTTTTGCCGGCGCATTGAACGTTACTAATAAACATTATTACTATAGATACTGAAATTGCTTAATTATGCTAAAAGTACTAAAATTAATAAAGTGTATCTAGAGAATTTAAATGAACATCTTTATTGTTACCTTACTAATTTGTTTTTCTTTCAAGACTATAATTTGCTTAATTCTCTAGTATTTAGTATACTATTTTTCTTTGGCTGGTGTACGTTTATAGGCAGAGGAAAGGAATAATGTTAAGTGCACAATTAATACCTATTTTATATAACATTTCTTTCGCTTAACCCATATCGTTATGCAATATTAAGCCGCATAAAATTACTGAGCATCTGAAGTGTTCTCCATGCCACTTAAAAATATTCTAAAAATGCTTCGTTTCATTTTTAATCAACAAAGCGTGATTCCCCTGCAGCGTTAAACTAAAGAAATTCACAATTAAAGTGCTTTCGTTCTGTAGATGGATTCTCTTCCAAAGTATCTATTGCTTAGCTTTAGCACATATCGATCGTGTTCTTGTGTATTCTTTCGCCTTTCAACACCCATCGCTGGGTTCAGTTGTTCCTGTTGAAAATTCTATGAAAATTTGTTAGGTCAAATGACTTCATTTATTTCAAACGAAAATTTTTATTTTTTTAATTTTCATTCGAAAAAGAGTTATTTAATTTGCATATGCGAAACTATTAACAAATTTTCGTATTCGTATAAATTAATTTGTTTTGGGTTGTTGATTTTATTTAAAAGAACACATATTAACATTTTATTTAATAATAGATATACATAGTATACATAGTATATATACATAGTAAAATAAAAAAATTCCTGGATTTTAGTTTTAGTTATAATAGATATTTTAAATTTATTTACAAGGAATTCCAAAAATTTTAAAATAGCATTATAGAAATCATAAAAGTCAAATAAGGTAGGAAGTTAAACACCTACAACCTTTATTTGAAGTATTACTTTAAAAAATAAATACAAAAATAGAAGTGATACTAAAATATCTAACAATGATAATAACTGAATATAAAACCACACTTCACTTTTAGAACTATTTGATTATTTACAAAAAATCAACCCTGTTTAAAAATGGGAGTCATTGAGTTTGATAACATAGAAAAGTTAATCGATTATTGAAGATATTACTTTAACAGGGAATATAAATCCATTTATATTGATTTTCGCAATAGTTACCCCTGTGTAGTAGGCTGATATTTTATACATAGCATTTCAAATAAATATATTTTTCCGACACATTCCCACCAATACAAAATGAGTACTAAAATCTATTTTAGTACTCATTATATATGAATAAAAAAAAATAAAAAGAAAATAAATTTTTTGAAGCTTATTTTCTTTTAATATTAACTTACAGAAAGGCTGTTAGAAATCTATATATAATATATATATTTTAAATAAACTTATTTGAAAGAGTTTGAGTTATATTTTTGTATTCATGCTATTTTTTATTTATATTTATTATAACCAAATGCTAAAAAAAAATTGTGTAAAAAAAACAACAAAATGAACGCGTTCTGGTAGTTTAGAAAACAGCCACTAAACGAAATTCGTGAAACGCATTATGGCACTTGTTAGAACAGCCATAATGCGTTGTGCTAATTGAGATATGCCACACTATATTCAAATAAAAAATTAAAATTAAAATAAAAAATTCATAATGGATAGAAACAGTAACTATTATAAAATACGCTATTGCTCAGATTTTAATTAAACTTTTATTTCATAATACCATTAAGACATTATGTTTGCTATTAGATGTGATATACAACATCATTCAAAAGTTTTTCACGGAACTTTTCCACTGAATCTTATTCTGATATTTATTAAGTATTTATGATTTATAAATACTTAGCTGACAACAGCTGGGCAATAACCTAACTAAGATCACAGAGAGTTGAGAGTTTGAAGATAGTTCCATTAAACGACACGCCTATAAAAATAATTGTAATGGTGACAAATGGCTTTGGAGCCTAATTCACACTCCCAACATGTCTACATATCCAGAAAATTTATTCTGGTCGTGTTCCTAGAAATTAACACGAGCAGAGCTGGACGTGTCGTGCAGTTTTCATGGATAACTTCAGTATCACGCCACAAACTATTGGTAATAATCTTGCTATAGCAATCAAGATTGGCGGTTTGTGTCGCCCAATCACTGTTTTTAAAAAATTTCGACTCTATACCCTATATAACTGTCGCATCACACAGTAATTTTTTGTGTTTGCAGTGGTCTATCGATAGTTACTTGCAGATTTTCACTAACCCAATTTAATGTATCTACTAAGCGGAAAATAAGTCATATTACTGAAATCGTCCCATTTTTGTAGTAAGTTTTCACAATTTTAACACGTTTCGCGGTTATTAAACTACATATATTGTAAATTGAAAAAATTGAACAATATATATAATAGACTGAATGACATACGTCTCTGAAAGAATGTTACCAAATCAAAAGCACGAAATTTTTACCCCTTTATTTACATATTGTAAGGTAATGAACCGTAAAGCTACACGAATTAATTTAAATAACTTTTCGAACTATTTCTTGATTTAATTAAATTAAACCAAAAAATTACAAAAAAAGTTTATAATTAAAAAATTTTCTAAATTAGAAATTACAACACAGAGAGAAACATTTTTCAATATCTCACATTTATCATGGGACAAATGGATTTGATTAGTATGAGATAATTCGATACCATATTATGTTGTAATATATATATGAATTATATGTTATATTTATGTGAGTCTCCAGAGTCTCAAATTTATTTTATTTTAATAATTTAATGCAAATTTATTGAATTTCATATTTTAATAATATTTATCGTACAATATTACTTATGATTATGTGAATTTATTATTAAAGAATAGTTGTTATATAGTCTTATTATTTTAATTAATTAATTTTTTTTATTTGATTTTTTTTTTAATAAATTCCAGTTTAAGGCAAACACTTGTTATTTATTTATCTTTTTATTTTATGAGTAAAATTAAACTAATAAAAAGTTTAGATTATAACTTTTTCTTTAAAGTACAATTTATTTTAAAACTAAAGATTATTTTATGTTTGGTAAATCTTTATTTCATTCTTTGATAGTTATTTACTTTAAGGCTAATTTAAAGATAATAACTTTATATTGCTTTTACACTTTCAATTGCTTTAAAGGAGAGTAAGATCTTGTTAATATGCTCGCTTACTTACAATAAATTTAATCATTTGCAATTATGTTTGTTAAAATATTTATTAAAAAATTTTTTAATAAAAAAAATTTCTATTTGTATTAAATAAATAAATTAAAGAAGCAATAATTTGAAGGTTAGCATTTTTTTATTATTAATTATTAAATTTTAATTTATATACTCATTATACTTAAAATATAATAATATTATGTGCGATTAACATACCTATTATAAAATAGAAGACCTTACTAATCACTGAAATACATTGTAAATAAGATAGTTTTGTAAACTAGAATTGTTTAAATTTTTTATCGATAAGATAGAAGAAAAGAAAAATATCTCAAACAAAATTAAATTTCGAAACTGTTGATTTATTTTTTTGTCGATTGGTAAACCCACAAGCAAGCCCACGAATTTCTTAACTCGAAAAATGCGTCAAGGTTTTCGCGATATTGAACACCTCAGACCCTTCGAATGCTCTATTGCGAGCATTCTTTTTCAGTTTTTAAATTATATAACAGTTTGACATCTTTATGCGCATTGGTGAATCTAATCAGCAAATCAAAAAACCTTCAAATTCATATCTCAATGCATTTGTGCTCGAATGCGGTTTAGTTTTTATGGCTTTTCAGCTATTTTGGTGTTTAGGAATTTGTTTTTCT